GTAGGGGGGCAGGGGTGGATAGGGGAGAGTGGGTTTGGTACCTGAGGGTGTGGCCACACCTGGCTGTAGGATAGGGCTCTTCCCACAGTGCCCTGTGGCGTCTCTGGAGGAGTGGAGGCTACACGGTCAGGATGGCCGGAATTCTTCTTTTCCTCCTTTGACATTCAATCCATCAGCTTGTCCTGTTGACTCTGTCTCCAAAGCATGTCCTCTATCCCCTCTCTTTCCTCCATCTCCTCCACTCTCACCCGCTTCCTGCTCCCCACCTGGCTTGGGCCACCGCAGCTGTCTTAAAACCAGAGCCATGGCTGTGCCCTTGCCTCCCTACCATCTGCTCTCCAGGTGACGGCCCAAGGGATCTTTAAAACTCGCCACCTGCAAAGAACGTGGCTTTCTTAGAGTACTGTGCTTCTAAAAATTTAATATGTTTTTGGATCATGTGGGAATTTTGCTAAGATGCAGTTTGTGATTAGTTATTCGGGGTTGGGCTCAAGACTGTTTCTAATAAGCTCCCGGGTCATGCAGTTGCAGCGCTCCTGGACCGCATTAGGAGTAACAAAGGCTTGGAGAAAAATCCAAACTTCCTTCCCATGTCCCACTTTATCTGGCCCCTGCATAGCTCTCCCACGTCATTGCCAGCCCTTGCTCCTCTCCCTCATCTTGCTATGGCTCCTCCGGCCTTCATTCTGTTCCTGGAGTATGCCAAGCTGCTCCTGCCTCAGAGCCTCTGCATGCTATATTCCCACTGCCTGGAGTGCTTCTTTCCTGGAATATTCCACATGACTTGTTTTTCTTTATTTACATCTTAGTTCAATGGTCAGACAGTCATTCTCTGTCCACTCCATCTAGTGAAGTGCCTTAGCCACCAGAGACTCTCGGCTATTTGCTTTTCTCTTCTTCTGCCTAGCACTTATGAGTCTCAGTTTATTTTGATAATATATTTGTTGACATTCATTTCCTGTCCTTCCCTTCATATATGTTCCACAGGGATAAGGACTAGGCTTCCTTCACTCTGAGCCTACCCCAGAGCCTGGCACATGGTAAGTGTCCTCTTCATGCTTCTTGGGCCTGTGCACAAAAATGTTCCCACTGCTGCTGTTGGTGTTTGGATGCAGACAAGCTGGGAAAAGCAATGGAGGGACCTGAGACAGAGGAGAGGAAGGAGGGAATAAGCAAACTTTCTCTACTGAGGTGCCTCAGAAAAAGCCTCAAGGACCTGGAGATGATGCTGAAACCCTGAATCAACACATAATAGATGAATTCATCTAACTAGAAGAGATTCATTCTGGAAAGTGGGGAAGAAAGTAAAGCATAGTTCAATGAGTTAAGCATTTGGAACAGTTTCAGTAGACCTATAGCAAATATTTATCAAATAAATAAACATGCTGAACCCTTATTTTATGACCATCACTTTATGTTATATAATCTGTTCATCCTCATAAAACATTATCACCATCTTGCAAATAAGAAGCCGTGCTACCAGATTAGGAGATTTGCCCGAGGTCATATAAGACTCACCCAAGGTCATACAGCGATTCAGAGACAGAGCTGACTACCCCACTCTCTGAAACAGCTCTATTCAAAGTTGTAAAGGCCATATTCCCTGTCCCCTTCCCTGCAGTGCCATACCACCTGTTACCAGTGACACACTGTGCATTTATCTGCTTGTCTGTTTCCTCTCACCACAGCATAAATTCCCTAAGGGTAAGAATCTTCGTTTTGTTTGCTACTCTTTTCCAGAGCCCAGAACAGGGCCTGCCATGTAAGTGGCACTTCATGAATGCTTACTGAATGTTAAAAGGATGAATGAAGGGATTATTTAAAAATCCTTATTTCGGCCAGGTGCCATGGCTCATGCCCGTAATCCTAGCGCTTTTGGGAGAGTGAAGCCAAGAACAGGAGTTTGAGACCAGTCTAGACAACACAGCAAGACCCTGTTACTACAAAAAATTTCCAAATTAGTCAGATGTGGCAGACATCTGTAGTCCCTGCTACTCAGGAGACTGAGGCAGGAGGATGGCTTGAACCCAGGAGTTTGAGGCTGCAGTGAGCTTTCTCGTGCCACTGCACTCCAACCTGGGCAACAGAGCAAGACCCTGTCTCTTAAAAACAAAAAACAAAAACAAAAAAGTTTCTTCATCTCTAGAGGGCAGTTCTGTAAACCTGTGGCTGACAGATGACTCAAATCCAGGCAAGAAGGCTGGAGGCCATTTGTGAGGAAGGAAAGCTGTAGCCTGCTGAATGCTTTTGATAATCAGAGGGAAGACTGTATCCACAGAGGAGAGACTCACTGCAGGGAGCTGGCATATGTTCCAGTCTCAGGCTCTGACATCACCCCTGTGGTGGCATGGGTGGGCATGAACGCCACAAGCTGGCAGTGGCTCTTCTCAGGATGTGGCTTCCCACATAAAGTGGCCCTAGAGGGAGAATATAATGACCAGGCCCCATTGGCAATAACAAGTTCGATGTAAGTGCATAAATAGGCACTTACCAGAAAATTTCTTGTGAGCCAGGCATGGTAGTTCATGCCTATAATCCCAGCACCTCAGGAGGCTGAAGGGAAAGGATTGCTTGAGCCCAGGAGTTTGAGACCAGCAGCCTGGGCAACGTAGAGAGACTCCATTTTTTTTTAAAAAAGTTAAAGTTAGCTGGGCATGGTGGCATACTCCTATAGTCCCAGCTACTTGGGAAGCTGGTGTGGGAGGATTGCCTGAGTCTGGGAGGTCAAGGCTGCACTGAGCCATGATCATGCTACTGTACTCCAGCCTGAGTGACAGAGCAAGACTCCATTTCAGAAAAAAAAAAAAATCTTTTGTGAATTGCGTTAGAATGAGTGAGTCGTTCAAGCCTGGCAGCTCTGGCTGCTGGACAGAGGCTCTGAACCAGCCAGGCTGGATTGTGGATAGTCCCTTAAGATAGTTCTCTGCCCACTGACCTTCCTCTGTACCTAGGCTTCTCAAAGTATAGACTTGAGACTGGGCTCAGACTAACCACATCAGTACCACCTGAGAACTTGATAGAAATGCAAATTCTCCTGCCCTGTCCTCTGATCAATAAAATTAGAAAGTATGGAGGTGGGGTCCATGGTTCTGGGAATTAACAAGTCCTCCAGGTGATTCTGATGCATGTTCAAGTTTGAGAACCACAACTAGTTTCCCCTTCATAATAGTTACTACTTTGCAAGGAGTCAGGTGGGGTTAAGGTAACAGGTTGAGAAATTCATAATACCGTGCAGGGGTCTTTTTATAAGTTGAGTGAGGACTGGACCAATGATTCTCAATGGGAAAGGCCAGGTTAGGGAGGAACCTCCTTGCATTTGGAAAATCTCCAGAGGAGTGGTTAATTTGCAAAAACACATTTTAAAGTTATAGTTTTGCTTTCTAGACCTGATTTTTAAAAATTTATTATTTTTTTTTAGAGACAGGGTCTTGCCGTATTGCCCAGACTGGTCTCAAACTCCTGGGTTCAAGTGATCCTTCCCTCTTGGCCTCTCAAAGTGCTGGGATTACAGGCGTGAGCCACGGTGCCCAGCCCTTACTTTATTTTGAAGGCTGGTGTAATAAAAACATTAAAGGAAGGTGTAATATAAACTGCTACCCAGTATTGATTGTTTTAGTGTCTATAACGTTTGGATCCCACCTCCTGTCCAATTCTCATCCTCTAACACAAAAACAAAACCCAAAAAACAACTATCTACACACACACACACACACACACACACACACACACACACACCCTCGGCTGGCCTGAGAGGTAAAAGAAACATCCCACAGGACCTGCGGAAAGAGCTCCTGAGGCACATTGGAGCCTTTATTGTGTGCCATCACTGTATCTGGCACTATGAAGAGGGTACAATGATACACTAGCTAGTGGCTTCTGCAATCAAGCAGCTTACAAGAGAAAATTCAGGGGGGAGACATTTTTTTCTGGTTGACAGATGTTGAAAGTATGAAGGTGTGGGAGCTTTGATCAGAGACTTGGTTTTCAGTTTTGCCAGATAATAGAACACACGGGGTGAACTAATGAGACAGGAGGGTGAACAGATGGGCGAGGCTTGATTGCTGGGTTAGGAGGCACAGAAAGGCACAGAGGACAGAGGACTACCAGTCCTTGGCAGTAGTGTACTGCTCCATGGCCACTACTTGGGTCCAGGGCTACATTCAGATCTGAGGTTAGATAGTAAGAATTGCTAACATTTATCCAGCGACCACATGTGCCAGTAATCAATCTAGGTGCTGTACATGTATAAACCCTTCTTCATAGGAAACCTATGAAAATGTTATTTGACGGGGAGACTCGGGCATTCACAGGAAATCGAACGTGCCCAAGGTCTCACCCTAGACAGTGGTGGAGTCAGAATTTGAGTCCTGGCCACTTGCTCCGAAGCCACCGACAATTCAGTGTGCTGTCCCCAGTGTCTGGGCTGACTTGGTGGGTTGGGAATGGCGGAGGAATGGGACACTTATTTTGGTAGGTAAATGTGGTTCAGAAGAAAGCCCTTCGTCTTTCTCCAAGCCTGAGCAATCCTTTTGGCGCAGGCAGTCCAGAGCAGAGCGCTTTGTGAGCCAGTTACAGGAGAAGTGCTGTAAGCCCCTTCCCACTAGATGGCAGCCCCTAAACCCACATACAAATCCTGGAACCTCCCTGGTCCCCATCTTCCAGGGCTGGGCTGCGGCTGAGGAACTGCGGGACGTACACCCGCCGGGCGTCCAGAGGGCGCCGCCCCATCCGGGGGTCGCGGGAAGCTCCTAGGCCGGGTGGAGGGTGGAGGCGGATCGGGAGAGGCTGCTCCCTCGACTCTTGGCGCCCAGGGGAGGAGCCGGCGCGGAGCAGCCCCACCCGGGGCTCCCAGTCGGGGCCCGCCCTCACCGCCCTCACCGCCGCGGCCGCCAGGAGGGGAGGGGAGAGAAGGGCTGGGAAGGCTGCGCGGGCGCTGTCCCGGGCCCCGAGGGCGGGGGCCGGCGGCAGGTGTGTGGCGTGGACTACAAGTCCCAGCATGCCCGGCCGTCCTGACCCGGCCCCCGCCGCCGCTTAAAGGCTCCGGGAGCCGCAGCCGTCGGATCGCCGCGGCTTTCGCTTTGCTGCAGGGGCTGGGAGCTCAGGAGCGGTAGACTCGGCGGCCGGCTCTACCGGCGTCCCGGCTCGGGCAGCGCCGAGGGGCGCTCCTGGTCCATCTCTCCCGGCTCAGGGGTTCCTTGCCGAGGCGCCCGCGCCCCGGGCTCCCCGCCTCGGCCGCCGCGGCCCCGATGCCGAGGCATGGATAGAGCGGCGCTGCGCGCGGCGGCGATGGGAGAGAAGAAGGAGGGCGGTGGCGGGGGGGATGCGGCGGCCGCGGAGGGAGGCGCAGGGGCCGCGGCCAGCCGGGCGCTGCAGCAGTGCGGGCAGCTCCAGAAGCTCATCGACATCTCTATCGGCAGCCTGCGCGGGCTGCGCACCAAGTGCAGTGTGTCCAACGACCTCACCCAGCAGGAGATCCGGACCCTGGAGGTAAGGGGGTCGGGGACCCGGGCTGGGCTCGAGAAGCGGCCCGGACACCGCCCTCCGGGCCCCAGTTCACTCCTGGCCGAGTTGCATCCTTGAGCCCGCGTCGCCCCCGTGGAGGCTTCCCCTCGCTCCTGCACTCGCTGATGCGGCAGCCGGAGGACCCAGGACCAGCCCTCACCTTGGGCAGGATTTGTGGGGCGGGTGCGTGGTGGGAACTGGGATAGAGGCTCGAGGGACCCGTGGGCGGAGTGGGCTGCGCGAGGACATCCCCTTTCCTCCCTTCTCCGCCCCCACCCCATTTGCAGTTTGTGGGGCCGCAGGACTCGTTGTCCCACTGAGTCACAAGCTGGACTTTTCCCTGTGTGACTGAGCCGAGCACCCGTGGGCCAGGGTGACGGAGGAGGTTCCCCTGAAGCGTGATCGCAGGCCTGTCGTCCCCTGTTCCCCTCAAGCCCTAGACGCCGTCCTGTCCCTTCCTTTCCTCTCCTCCCAGGTCTTGTCTGCCGCTTTTCAAAAAGTGTTGCTGAAACTGCATTTTTGCTATTCAGGCGTTTGGTGCTTTCCTTTCACGTTGCCACAGAGGCTCGCTGCTTAAAATATATTAATAATTACCCGCCGACTCCCCCTGCTTCCCCCCAAAGATTGGATTTTGGCTTAGGAAGGATTATGCTGGGGAAGCAAGCCTTTGGTGGGAAGATGACACTGTTTAAGGGGTTCTGATGGAGACAGCCTGGAGTGTAAAGAAGAAATAAGATATGCGGGCCTTCCTCTCTCAAATTATAGCTGGGAAGTATTAGAAGGATTTGGAAAAAGCAGCCCAAGGGTTGTTGGGGCACCCTGTCCATACACAATGAGGGCAACTAGTGGATTCCAAATGTGATTTTGGCCAGGGACGGGGCGGTGAAACGTCAGACCAGTTAATAGCTGCCCCGTCTTGAACAAGGAACCTCTCACCATCTTGCCCTGCCACATCTGGCCTCCTGCAGGTCTGGGGATGTTTTGTTTTATTAGATCCTCAATTTCTCCTCCCCCTAAACCCTCCCCCCGCCCCTTATTGCTAATTGCCTCTGCCAGCTGTCATAAGGCCCTCTGTGATTGTGGTAATTATTACAAGACCAATCCTTCCTCCAGGCATGCCACAAGCCTGAATCCTTGTTTGATCCCAAGTGCTCGGGGGTGCCTCTCCCTCAGTTTTATTTTCTTAAAAGCTATAAAACCACAGGACATTGGAAGAATACAGTCAGTGCTGGGTATTATTATTTTTTATTACAGTTGCTAAAGCTGTACTGACCAAGGCTTTGCTTAAAAAACAAACAAAACCCCCTACAACTGGCCTTTCTGCATGCATGCTGCAGTTTTCCAAGTATTGAGAGAAACTGATTTTTTGAACACAGCTGAGTGTGTTTGCCCAGCAAAGTTCAGTTTTTAAGCTGACACAATAGGGGGCCTGTGAGGCTCAGTTCTGGGAGGAGGGGGTCGCTGTCCGGCAGAGTGTGCGTGGTTGGACTGCGGTGTTACTGGGTTTGGAGAATGCTCTCTGTGTTGGCCTCTGTGGGATTGTCCCCACGTTGCTCTGAAGTGCTCCTGGCTCCCAGAGTATGTACAGGAGAACCACTTGCTGTGCATTCTCTGGAATGGCTTTTTGTCCTACCCTAACTTCCAGAGTCTCTCATTTTGATGGCGGTGTGGCGTTCATGACACCCTAGAGCATCCAGCTATTTAAGTCTTGGAGCTGGTTTATTCAGTGGCTTCCCTCCTGAGTGTTTGTTTAGACAATCATCCCTGGTGGCAGAGAACTCATCCGAAGGCCCACAGGGGATTTGCAGCTCCCTCCTCTTCCCACCGTGATGTGGATTCGGGTTCACCCACTTCCTGAAAAGGCAGGGCTTGGGTTGTTTTGGGGGATGGGAATTTAGACCCCTGGAGCGAGTTCCATGGGGCTGCCACCAGCTAGTTTGGATGAGTCACTTCATCCCAGAGGCCTCAGCCTCCTCACCTGCAAAACAAGGAGGCTGGAGTGGATCTCTGAGGGCTCTGGAGGCTCGAAATTCTCTGGGTTAGAGAATGAGACTTGGTTGGGTGAAATCAAATGTTTGTGATTGTTTTTATACTACCCCTGTTTAAGAATAACCCTCTAAGAATGGTTCTAAAATACAGATTTACTGAACTCATAACATAGGGGTTAAGTTTATTATAAGACTCTTTGCCATAGGAGCAGCGTGGTGAACAGGAAGCCCCATGGCTTTCATATTGGGCCTGGGTTCTGTCTATGTGACCTTAGGCAGGTCCCATGACTTCTGAATCTCCAGCTCTCCTGTACGTACAATACGAACGAGACTGCTCACACCTGCAGCGTTTTGTCTGTCAGTCCATGCTGTTACTACCAAAAGAGTCTGCCTGGCAGCTTTCCCTAGGGAGGGTCCAGTAGCGTTTATGGCACAGGCCACCACTAGGGAAACAACCCCTACTAGACCCTCGCTAGGGAGACTTAACCCCTACTTTATGGATTAGTAAATCTGGATTTTAGGGAAAGGTACTTCTGCAGCTGCCTCTCATTTCATACAGGCGGGTGACACAAGCCAGGAAACAATCTCAGCAAGCTGGGTGGGGCCGTCCACCCCCAGCAGCTTGTGTTGGGGCCAGGTGGGCCAGTGGCAGTGTCCACTCCAGCATTCTTTCCTGTTCTGTGGGCTCCCCACACACCAGCTCATAACCTCAGAGACTGTGCTTGCAACACTGGATTCCTGGGTTTTGAAGAAGGATCTGACCGGGAGGGCTTGGCCTGTGTAACTGTGTCGGACTTATCTAGAATCTTAGGAGCCCCAACTCACTCTGGCCTTCATTATATAAGCACTCAGTGAGAGAAGCAGCATGTGAGATGTCCGTGGAGGTCCCTGACTGGAGATGGGCTGCTGCTGCCTGAAATCGTGTTGTGATGGGGTGTGGGGGGTCAGCGTGTCTGGTTGCCTGGGGATAGCTTTTCTCTGTGTCGTGGTCCAGTTTGTATGGCAAAGGGTAGAAGGAGCTGACTTAACGTTTGCTGCCTATGTGCCCAGCAGTGTACCTGACTCTTCTCAATCTCACACACGTTCCTGGAGATCAGCAGTCTTCATCATACACATTTTCCCTCTCTAAATAGAAAGGGAGGGAGGCACAATCTGAAACCAGAGTCTTAATCTGTAAACAGTTGTGAGGCTACTTCATCATGGCAGGACCTGGTGTTCTGTCTCTGCTAGACCCTCCTTGGGGTCTGAAAACTCCACCGAGCCAAACGGGAATGTTCTTATGCCCCAGATATGCTCACGGAGGGACACCTGGCCTGCCTCATAGCTGGGCCTGCAACCTATGCCAGTAATAATTACCTTCATTCCTTTGAATCTGGCCAGTGCTGGGGAGACAAGGGTGTGTAGAAGCAGACACATGTTACCTCATGGAGATGTATGTTCCAGGGACATTGTGACTTGCCCTTTCCTGCCAGCCTCCTAGTACTTTCCAGAGACAGGCTGTGCCGTGCTGAGTCTCCCCACCTTGTGTTCTTGTGGAGAAAAATCCCTCCTAAGCAAGCTGATGTGGAGAAAGGGGCTGAAGGACTTTGACCGTCAGGCTTTGCTGGGGGAGGTGATGTTGGGAACTGTGGTAGGTGCAGAGGGGAGGCAGTATTGGAAACTGTGGTAGGTGTAGAGTCAGGCTGTACTGGGAGGCAATATTGGGAACTGTGGTAGGTTCAGTCTCTGCCCTTGGGCCGCTTTCCTGAGCAGCTGCCCTGGAGCAGCAAGGGGTCAGAAGGGAGGCCCTCCTGCCACCTGGAAGGTCAGAGAGACCTGGCCCTCACACAGCTCTGCTATGGCAGAGGTCAGAGCCCTGCTATGTGGGGGACCTGAGCTCTCCCTATGCCTCCTAGGAGCATCTGACGATGGAACTGCTGGGAGAGGGGAGGGGTGGCATGCCTGCAGATTGGGTCCTTAGGGTGTGTGGAGGCACGTTCCCTGGACAGACTTTTAGTTACTGTCGATGTGCTTACCTGGCTGGCTGCCACCTAGCAAGGGCTCTGAAGTAGGTGGGCTACTCTCCCAATCTTTGGGGTTTAAGGACACTTCTAGTCTAATGAAGGAGCCAGGCAGGGCACAGTAATGACTCTAGTATCACAGCTTGTAGGACCCTGCATTGGGAACCCCACTGAACCCTTGGTCCATCCAACCTCCTGTTTTTTTTGTTTTTGTTTTTGTTTTTAGTCAGAGTCCCACTCTGTTGCCCAAGCTGGAGTGCAGTGGCATGATCTCGGATCGCTGTAATCTCCACCTCTCAGGTTCAAGCAGTCCTGCCTTAGCTTCTGAGTAGCTGGGATTATAGGCATTCCTCACTATGTCCAGCTTATTTTTGTGTTTTTAGTAGAGATAAGGTTTCGCCGTGTTGGCCAGGCTGGTCTTGAACTCCTGGCCTCAAGTGATCCACCCGCCTTGGCCTCCCAAAGTGCTGTGATTACAAGTGTGAGCCACCTCCTGGTTTTCTGGGAAATATTCCCAGAGTCTTGGGGACTTCTACCAAGTGGCAGGTCCCTGGCAGAAAGGAGACTGAAACCTGGTTTTCCTTTCCCAGCCAGCCACTGTCTCGAAGTGTGGCGTTTCTCTGCTTCTGCTCTGTGGCCACAGTTGTAACCCTCTGGCCAAGTGGCTCCAGCCATCTCTGAAGAGATACAGAGCCGGGGCTCTGGCCCCTTTTGTGTCCACTTTCACCTGGGTAACTTTTTCCCTACCTCCCAAATGTTTCTCAGAGGCAGCCTAGAGGGGGACCCGCAGTGGCTGTGAGCCTGGGGAGGGCTGGGTGGTGCTGGAGAGAGGTCTTATCAGATCTGCAGCTTGGGTTGACGTGGGTGCCAGGAGGTGTGGTTTGCTGCCTGCAGCTATGGGAATGCCTTCTTCCACGTCAGGGTTGTTTCCTCTTCTTGGAGTGGTCTGGGCTGCCTCAAAATCCAGGAAAGTGGCATTCTGCACCACAGGTATTCTACTCCTGCCCGCTGGATGTGTCTGGAGATGGACCATGCAGAGAAGCTGGTCCATGGTGGCAGTGTCTGCAATGCTGGGGAGAAGCAGCAAAGCCTGTGGCCAAGTCTCTCTAAGCTGTGCCTTTTAAAAAGGCCATCCTTCAGAATAGGCTGGGGTTGCATAGGTGCCTTTTCTTAGGGGAATGACCTTTGAGTAGAGAGGGCAGACACAGATGAGGAACGTGCTTGATCACCTGTTCTATGTCGAGCACTCCACTAGGCTCTCAGCATATGTTGCACCTTAACATTCACAATGATGCTATGAGGCTTTATCCTGATGTTGCAGATGAGGGAATTGCATCTCAAAGGGATAGAGAGACTGTCTCAGCAGGTGGTTGAACCCGGGTTGACTGGTCTTATGGAGAACT